AGGGGATCTCCCCGGGGGCGCATGGGGCCCACCAGTCGCTCCACGCAGGCGCTCGGGAGCCCCTCCTCGCCACAGCCAGACCAACCTCTCCTTCGTGTGAGCACGGGGGCCGGTAGGTCGGCTGTGAGGAACCCAAGGGCAACACAGAAAAGCGTGGGCCCCCCCACAGCGCAAGGGAGTTCACTTTCCGTGGGTCGGGAAGGCAGCAAAACTCAGCACGCACTGACCCAGCGCTGGGAACAGCCCTGCAGCAGCCCAGGCAGCCGTCTGGCCATCAGCACCAGCAGGTGCTTTTCAGTAACCTCAAACAAGAAGCCAGCAACCAGACGAGGCAGCATGACAGTCAGGGAACCACCCATGCGCACAAACCCCACTGCTCAGGTATTTCCTGCGCTTTGTGGTGTTACAAAAACTGTCGCTGCAGGACAGGTCTGCAGCCTGCCACGCAGGAGGGCTGCTTGGGTCACGGCTGGGCCGCAACACGACAGCCAGTCCGCCATCAAAAATGCTACAAAGCGGCCTAAGCCGAAGGAGCCCTCCCTTGATGCCAGCATGAACAAGTGAGCATGGAAGAGCCTCTCACGATGCATAAGTGACAGCTCACGCAACGCAGGGGACAGCAGAGGACTAGAGCTACTCACTAGCTAACGTGACCACTGCAGGGACGCTGGCAATGACCCCTTCGGGCACACGAGCAATGCACTGGTACCGCCCCACGGTGTGGTTGTTGAGAGCTGCGATGATGAGTTTCCCTCGCTCGATGTGGATACCCAGCACCTCGTCCGACCCCGCCAGCTCCTTGCCGTTCAGTCTCCAGGTGAGGTTCACTCTGGGGGGGTCCACCACACACCCCAGGCTGACTGGGCCCCCAAGCTTTTGGACAATGGAGGCAGGTTGCACAGTGACCTGCAGGGATTCACCTGCATAGAGGGAAGGAAATGGGAATAAGAAAGTTCTGTGAGACTCGGCAAGAGAGAGGACAGAGGAAAAAACTGTAACGCTGATACATTTTGTATTCCCCATCGCTTCTGCTTGTGCTGCACCTTCCGCTTAGCTGCCCACCTGCCCTGGTGCTTGGAGATGCACACTAGTCCCACTTCTTTTAGGCACCACTAGACAGAGCTGTCCAGCTCCGACCGTATCCCCTTCTCCTCTGAGGGAGTGTTGGATCCCAGACATTTGGTCAAGGCTATTGAGGAAGCAGCGGTGAGAGAAAACCACTTTGCGCACCAGCCTCAAGGCAAAACGTAAACGAAATGGAATAAATGGGTAAGAACAGAAACTCACTCAGTCTGGCAAGGCAGCTAGCGGCTGCGAGGATGAGGCAAGGGATGGGGGACATGGGTCTCTTCTTTCCACGTGTCATTGCCATCCCATGCAGCATGTCCTGGGGCAGAGGCGCCCAGGGGAGGGTCCCATAAGCTGCCTTAGGGGATGCAGCAGAGGTGCGGCAGCAGATTCCTGCGGGTGACAAGAGACATGACGGATGAAACCCTCAGGCTTCCTTTTGCTTTCCAGCCTGCCTGGCTCCTCTCCTGATATCCCTAAACTCCCAGGGACTCACAGAGCCAGCAGCCTGAGCAGGTTACAGACGCTGACGCAAGCACTTCTCCAGCCTCTCCCCCAGGCACAGTCGCGAGTCTCGCGAGACATCCCACCCTCAGCCCTGGGTACAAACCCACATGTGTGCACGCAGACACATCATCTCCTTCCTCGTTTCAGGTTCGGCGCAGCGGATGCCTGCGCTGTGCCAGCAATGCACACCAAGCAATTTTCAGGAGCAAAACATAAACATTTCCAATAAAGCATCACTGAAGATATTCACTAAGTGTTGCTGCCACTTCTTGGCTGTGTCTGGAACGTATTTGATCTTGAACAGAAAAGCAAACGAGCAGTACGAGTCCCGAGCCACATGAACACAGAGGTGACCCTGCAGTTCCACTTGTGACACACTGGCCATGTTGCTACCAGTCGTACCTATGTTTCAATCCAGATGGGACTCCTTAGGAGATGTAGAAGTTTTTCAGGGCATTTCCGCAAGGAATTATTCTGAAGTGAAGAGGACACTTTTTCAAGAGACAAGAAATGCCCAGTTATAAATTTGTTTAAATTCAGTGCAGTGAGCCAAGGGCGGATTACAGTTATTTGGCATAATACACCTTTATTCTAAACCAACAGACCCAATCTACGGAAAGATTTCAGATTAACTGTTCTGCCTAAAACACACTGCCTATTTTGAGTTGAACTACCCTGCCTGGACAAACCATCAGGTTCTTACTTGAAAGCACCAACAATCTCCAAAAAACTCAAAGCCCGAGGCCGCCAGTCACAGCGCAGGTTGCTGTGAAGAGCTGCACACCGCAGCGGCTGTTTTGGAGAGACGGTCATGAACAAAAGCTAAAGCAAACAAGCCATATCAGGGGGATTAAAGATCCAAGTGGCTGACACCTCAAATGTCAGACTGAAATCAGCTTCGACCAAGGGCAAAGGGCTGAAGCCAAGCAGAGTCTTCCCTCTGTGGACATCGTAACGCAGCTACAGGATTTTGAGCCCTGTCCAGCTGCAGCACCAACAAGACGACCCATGAGTCTCAAAGGCCCTTCAGAACTGCTCCTGTGGCATGTCTGCATTGGCAGGGGAGAAGCCCAAGACCAAACCAAGCATAACAGCCAGCCCAAACAGCAGTTATATCGCCTGCTCCCCCCGCAGATACACAATTAACTGCAACCACCATCCTCAAGAGCACCTGGACCCTGCAGAGCAGCATTTCCCACTTCCACCACGGTCACCAGTTGAGCCATCACCTGTTTGAGCATGCCCTTTCCACACCCAACTCAGTCAAAAAGAGGGAACAAACCCCTTCAAGCATAACCTCCAAAACCAAACCTCCCAACTCCTGAAGTAAGGACTGCCACAGACTCCCCACGACAGACTCAGTAAGTCCTTCAAGGCAAGGCTGATTACTGCTAGCAAGGAACCATGGTACTTGGGGAAATCTCACCAAGCTACTCCCAGATGACTTTGCTGGGCCTCTGGTGACAGCAAAGGTGCGAGCGCACAGCGCGGGGTCAATGTCCATGGCTGGCTATGCTGAGGTCCCCATCGATACAGCTAGCTAGCGTGCACGGATCGCTGCAAACCGGGCTGACCCTCTTACAGCCTCACAAGCTGTCCCCTTCCCCCTCCCCCCACCCCAAAGCGCTGCTTGGGGGAGAAGTCACGGAGGAGACATTTATATAAAGTTAAGAGAAGACACGAAAAAGAAAAGCCAATTCTGAGGTGGCAAATTCAAAAGGAAGCAACGCCAAGTTAAAGCGACCTGCGGCTGGAGCTTTGCAAGCACCATGAAGCACCCTAACCCTAACCCTGCACTTTGCAGCCTGCCCAGAGGGCTCAAGGCAAGGCAGCAGCTCCCCAGGAGTCACATAGCCACAGTTAGCATGGCCGTGAGCCCAAGACAGCCCTGTTGATAGGTAGGGTAAATTAGGTCAAGCTTAACACAGCCTTACCTGGCTTCTGGGTGGACGGGAACACGGATAAAGCTTGGACATCAGACATCAGGCTAGGCATACCCTGAAGGCACCCCGAAAAATCAGCCAGACTCATATTCTAGCTACTGCAGCCCGCAGCCCTGTTACAAGTGGAAATCCTCTGTGGGTAACCTCCAGTGCCAAAGTGACATGAGAGCAACTTCCCTCCCTCCAGCCTCATCCTTCCCAGTATCACTCTCCTCCCCCAAAGAGTGATGAGAGTCTCAACAATTTCTCTTTGAAGAGTTTCCACCATCAACCAGCATGTACTGTTGTAGGAGGTCCTTCCGCTATTGGCTTGGAGAGCATCTGAGTTACTCAGTTTCGTTTCTCCAAGTAAGACAGCCAGCAAAGTATCCTTCGTTATGCCACAGTGGTCTTGGGCAAACCACCACTGACCACGAGGCAAAAGTGCCCAAGGTCTGTCTGCACCAGAACATGCACTGTTGACACTACCGACACGCCACTAATTACACTCATCTGGAAAAGACTTTGAGTTAGTTTAGGCTTAAAAAACAGGTTTAGTTTGTACCTCGCACCATCAGGGTTGCTGGGGATAGAAAGCCTTCCACCAATGTAGAAGAAGCATTTTGGGCTAGGGCTTAACATCTTGCTCCTCAGTGCTGGAATCCTACAGAGCAGAGCTGACTCGTTCCCCCTATCTGGATGGGTTTGGCAGCAGGATGGAAAAATGTTGGACGGAAGAGAGTTGTTCCTTGGAGCCCATGCTGGGGGAGGGGGTAGGCAAAGAAGTTCCCAACCAGACCTCCCTGCAGCTCCACGTTGCGCGGAGCCTCTGGCCAGAAGGGCAAAGCCAAAGGCGCAGAAATGTGTAACGGACCCTTCGTGAGCTAGGACCACCCAGGCACATCGCTGCAACTACATTGGCTGCCCCCAGGTCCTTAAAAAGATGAGGGGCAATAGGTGGGGAGAGAATAGGGGAGATCAAAAAATTTGGCCACGGTACTGGGCAGATTGAACAGTATTGAGCAGAGACTGAGGAGAGAAGGTGTGCTGCAACAAGTGCATGGTACCTCCCCAAACCTCCAGGCAGAATATGAGCTCTAAATAGGGACATGTGGCCGTTTCTTTCACAGCTGAGTGAAGTACAAAAAGTAAATGGCTGGCAAAAAAATAATGAGGAAAATGAATGAAAACATTAATTCCAAAAGAACTATTAGGATCCAGGGCCAGATTTCGAAATTCTCAGCTTCCACAATTGAAGCCAGATTTTCAAAAGCATTCAGTTCTTGACATGCTGAGCTCTCCTGAATAGGCAACCACCTTATTTCGATGCCTAAATGGGAGCTGACCTCTTTTGAAAATGCTGCCCTTACGCAGCCTGCAGTAGTGCAAAACAAGGAACTTTATTAATCAGGCAGCTTTCGATCTGCCCGGCGTCCCTGCAAGCACCACCAGAGAGGGCTGCAGCCGGAGGGGCGGCAGCGGTGGGGAGCGGAGGAGGCCCCAGGCGCCCGGGTTGCCTTCCCAGAGGTGGTAGTCCCAGGCAGGTGGCTGTGCCGGGAGGCGCAGGGCTGCTGCGTGACGGCATCCCACTCTGCTGCCTCCCCTCCCCAAGGCAGGTACACTACGAGATACCCCTGGCTGCTGGCGCCGGTCCCCCCAAACCCCCCCAGCCTCCACAGCTCCTGCTTAATTGCTGCTTGGGAAAAGAAAGAGTTCAAGTCATTTAAAGAGCTTCGAGGGGGGAGGGAAAACAAAAATTATTTGTTTATTTATTTTTAATTCTTTCCTGCCATGTAAAATCTGTCGGCTCGGCTTCCCACCACGCACCTCAGCCCAGCGAGGCCCTGACACGCAGCCCCAGCTGCGCTGCAGCGATGGAGGGGACTGCAAAGGGAGCAGAGCAAGAAAGAAAAACCAGAGGTGAAGATATAAAAGGGAAGAAAGGCACGCGTGTGTGCAGGGGGGTGACAAAGCTGGAAAGGCAAACGGGATCTGAATTAAGCGCCAGCAGCAGGCGAGGTGTTTGCTGATTAGAAACTGAAGGTTTTACTGAGGAAATGCTGCCCACAGCCCCAAGCCCCCTCCTGCTTAACAAGCGCCAGCCAAGCAGTCCTTGTTACTGCCACGCTGTCCGTGATTTACAAGGCTCCCAAATGGGAACCAGCCTCTGCCCTGACTCCGGGGCAGCATCCCCGCACCACACACCCCAGCTGCACGGGCAGGGCGGGAACAAATGCGGAGGTGGACTGGGAGACAGGGAAAACCATCCGATGCACATGAGGGTGGTTTGGGGTTGCGGCAGATGGCTGGACCCCGAGCCCCTCTTTGGGCAGAAGAGGAACGGTGGGAAGGGGCTGCTTCCCATTAAGGCAAAGGCTGCGGCAGCTCGGGTCCGGCTGCCAGCTGGGGACACCCTGGGTGACTCTGGAGAATTCACCGCAGCTGGTCTCTGTTTCCAACAGGTCAAGCAGGGACAACGATACTCCCAGTTCTCTGCTTTATACATTGAGACTTCAGCTCTTCAGAAAAAGCAATGTCTTACACAGTACAGCATGCCAATTTTACTTGTAATCATTAGTTTTTAAACACAAAACAGTAATTTTTCTGTTTTTCCACAGAGCTTAAAGCACTGAAAAAGAAAGTGTAAAATAGAAAAGAGCCACAGTACCCCTCTGCTTGGCAAATGAGGGAACCTAGGGGCTAGAGGAGGAAGCCAACCTGGCCCAAGGTTATACAGTAAAGCAGTGGCAGAGCTGGAAATCAAAAGCACTCTGACTGGGACCTCCATCCCATCAGACAAGTTGTTCTGGATCTCAAATCTCTGGCATCCCATCTGAAAAAACGCCACCACACAACTGTATAATCCCCTAGCTGAAAGAATACTGTCCAGGTGACAGACCTGAGCAGGTCAGCTGCAAAGACCCCGCATGACACCCGGGCACAGATGGCAATCTGGACAC